GAGAGAATTCTTATTGATATGAGTTGAATTACAATAGAATAGAACCCTCTATTTACAGGGAGAGGGTGACTTAGCTACCAAGCAATGAACCCTAGAATCTCTCTAAATATATACATTCACCATAAATACAATTCTATTTATAACAGTCCCCCTTGAATGTCTATTCAACAGATAATGTGCCTCGTTAAAACCTTAACTAAAATAAAACCCAGTGGGAAAAAAATTCTAGAGAAGGAAAAAGAGTACACATATCTAACAATACGCCTTTTGATTGCCTCATTAAAAACCTTGCAAGGAAAACCTAGTGGGACAAAACCTTGTAAGGGAAAAAGAGTACAACGCGTATTCAATTCACATCCTTAAGCATTTGCATTCCAATCTTGTGCACCATCTTCAAAAGATCTTTGGTAGAGATTTGATGAACAAATCAACCATGTTAACTTGAATGAATATATTGCATCTTGAAATCATCATTCTTGATAGACTTCATGTAATGTCGTGGAATGACTTTTCAATATTTCCAAAGAGGTATTCTCGCTATCACGTTATCATGCTTATAGTTATAGCAAGATACATATGTGCACAAATTGCATTTAGGATATGGTACTTCAGGACCAAGAATTGTATATGCTTTAAGCGATTTAAATCCTTCAAGGATTGGAATATAAGTTAAGTCATATAAGCCATATAATAGACTTTAGATTCATATCAAGTTTTCATGTCATACTAGACATATAAGATATAGAAAACTGATTGCACATATCATTGACTTTATACTTTCAAGTGTTTGAACTACATGTTCAAAACTACATGTCTTTCATATGAAACCAATTCTACTTGAATTGTTTCTTCAGACTTAAGATCCTCATATATATATTTAGCGCTATCATAGATGTCGTCGGCGAACATTTTATATCGGTTTCAACTTCCTTATTTTTCATAAAGACATAACATAAAGATCTCTTCATTAATATATTCAGGTACCTGAATCTCTCATGAGATTTTATGAAGTGTTATGTCATGTGATCTTCTAGATCACTTGCCTCCTTATTATGATCATTTTGATCATTTGCTCATCTTCTTTATCAAGAAGTTTATTTGAAACCGATTTGTCTATATGATTTAAGCGTACTATAGACTTTGTCCTTCTAGGACTTATTCTAATAGGAGCATTTGCAATGAGAATATAGTTACTTTCTTTGGGTCAGCAAATGCGTCTGGCATGCTTTGCAATAAATTGCACATGAATTATCCTTTTATGAACTTCAAGTTCATATTATTTTATTCGGGGATCTAGATGTATAAATGATAATTCATTCCATGTAACTTTTTCTCAACTGTTGTATCTTGTCTCCCCCTCATGTTAGAAAAACTAACTTGTTTCCTCAACTTTGAGAACCCATCTTTGTGCGTTATGGTGTTAATCAAAATATACACCGCACATCAATAATAATGAGATAGAATTATTTGGTTCCTGACCCTGAAATCACTTGTGACGGGAGAATGTAATATACTTTCGTATATAACCTATATCAAACTGATATAGATAACTTTGTTCTCATAAGCAATAGTTTAGCTATTAAGTGGAGGCACTCAATAAATCATTTTGCTAAACCAACATGTAAACCAACTTATCAAGAAGAACTATCTTGAATAAAAAAATCTAGAAATTATGCTCTATATTAAATTATTGAGCAAGTTACCTCGCAAACACCAGGTTGCGGGTCAATAATAATTGCACATGTAACCATCTCATAGATGCATCTTATGTGGTATACATGGCAGGTGAATGGGCCCATATTCACCTTTGATATTTCCAGCATTCATGGGATTCAATCCCAATTTTAATTTGTCTATTAATTAATGAGAACAAGCAATGTAAGAGAATTCGTAAAGAACTTTCTAGTTCTTTAATATTTACCCATGTGAATTCTCTTTTATTTTTGCACATCATACTTCAATTAACAGGGCTAAACCAATTATGCCAACTGGATAAATTATCAATATTGATAAACTTCAGGTTTACACCATGATGTGTGCAATTATGAATAAACTCCAAGTTTATTATGATCATATGGGTTTTTATATCTATAAATATCTACTTCATTGTGGTATTCTTTTGTTTATGTAGTACAAATTGGAGAATAAAGCGGGTAGCTTTTCACATACATATTACCCCGCTACAAGTTGTAGTAATAGAAGATATTAAATCTTTCCTTTATTTATAGTCTCAATATAATCAACCGCTTTGGTGTATACTTTGGAAACTGAATAAGTTTCTTTGAGACTTACTACAATACAATACCTTATTGGTAATTAATTGTGTTTCTCCAAAATAGTATAATTGGCTCTTGCAGAGTTCTCAATTAATTTTGTAGTACCATATATTCATCAACACCTATATGGTGAATATCTCTTTTAAAGAGAAAGTTATACCATTATGGTTATGGTCAAAATTATATGCAAGATCTGTTTCTTGCATTACCGTTGTCTTTTAACAATCACAATGCCAAAATATTTTGGCGTACAATAGGTACATGACCAATGACCATTCATGCCATAATAATGACATTATTTTCTTATATCATCTCAAACCTCCTTTTAGAGGTGAGTGCGGGATATTCACTACCACTAGCACGTTCATATTCTTTGAAGAATGAATATGTATTCATAAATCAGATGTTGTCACATTCACATCATGAATGGACCATAATCATCTATATGTGCTTTACAAAATCTCATGTCAAATCGATGACAAATATTTTTCACAGAGTGAAAGATTATTTTGAGAATCCTTATTGTTCTCATTACCACAAATGATGACGATTATAATTTCGTCTATTGCCACGTCCATATCCATTGATACATTCATAGTACTAATTTTGTCTTCTTTCAGACTTATCACATACTGCTATCACATTCTCTTAAGGGAATGAGAATGGAGCAAATTCAATGGGACGGGTTTTCAATTCTTTAGCCACAATCATACATGAATTTGATCATGGCGAGGCATAGAAATTTTACCACTTCAGGTGGTTATAATTTCTTACAAACTCCATTAGAGTTATAATCAAACTTTATTGTCTTTGCTTGTATTTAAAATCAAAGTATAGAATAAAAGAGAAAAATACGGTAAAATACTTACCTTAAATCCATAATTTAATCATGAAGGAAGTTCATGGAATAATTGACAATCATTATGCTCAATCCCAAAGCTTCTACTCAATTGGTTAGAGTCTCGTGCTGATAACGTGTTATGAAACAATAAAAGAAGAAGAATAGTAGAGAGAAAAGTAGAGAGAGAGAATTCTTATTGATATGAGATAAATTACAATAGAATAGAACCCTCTATTTACAGGGAGATGACGACTTAGCCACCAAGCAATGAACCCTAGAATCTCTCTAAATATATACATTCACCATAAATACAATTCTATTTATAACATAATATGAATTGTCTCTTTTTTAACTCAGTCTCTTTTTTATACATTTAATATTATATACCAGCAATTTTTGTAAATGAACTGTATAAATAAACATAGATGTGTATACATTATACCACTATTATATTATTTATATATACCAAATATGCTAATTAATTATGCAATATTCCAGAATTATTCCAAAAATATACCAGCAATATTTTTCGAAATAAAATGTATATATAAACACACACATATACATTATTCCTTTAGTATACCATTCATCAAAATATTTCTAATTAAAATATGAAACTACCAGAATTATCATAAATATATTGGTATTTATACCATTTTGTATAATTAATCTTATTTAGAAAGAAAAGAGAAAGGGTTTGGATGGGATATGGAAGAAGCGTGATTACAGGTGAGAGATTTTGTTTGTTATACGTTTCTGCTATGGAAAGAAAATATTTTGTTGCCATACATGTAAATTTCCTTATGATGCTAGGATTATGTGATTTTGTTTGAAAACCTGCCTGGTTTTAAAACTTCCTCCCTCCCACGTCAAACCCAATTTCTCTGTATTGGTAACATATTCTAAAATCCTCATCCCTCATCTATAAAACCTACGGCGGCTAGTTCTTTCGATTAAGCAACGCATCAACTTCTTGATTCTTTGCTTCTTTGGGATAAGGTTTGAGTTCTTTTCTCTCTAGGTTTCTTACATTAACTTATTCTTCATGTGTTTTTCTTATTTACTAAGCTTTGTATTTATTGTACTATAGTCAAGGTGAAACTATGTGTTGATATGTAGGTTTTGAAGGCTTGAAGCTTTCCACAACAAACTTGGGTTAGAAAAATCATCTATATTCATATTCTATATTTAAAAAAAAAAAGAAGCATAATCTGATGGTTGAATATTTCTGTTTTTTTTTTCTGCGAATATTCATCTGCATATTGTATTTTTCACAATTGTGTATAGTCTTTGTTTTACGGCCTTGGTGCTCTTGCTAGGCTTATGCTACCTGTTGGGCCGTTAACCTGAGTATTGTTTTGGCATTTCTATCAATTTTGATTTTTTACATAAATATGTGACAAACCATATTTTTTAGCTAAAAGAAAAATCATAAAGACATATATACGCAATGGAACAAACATGGTTGTGTATTTAAATGAAGGAATCCTTTTAGGAATCAAATTCTATGTGCTGAAAAAGAAAACACAATTAGTAGAACGTTAGAACTCTACTCCGAAAATCCATATCATATTCGGTTATATTACAACTGCATAGTTGTTGGCCTCCTCTAACATATTACTCAAGTAAGATGTATTTCAAAATATCTTCTGAGTAATAGTATTCTCTAATAGTATTCGGAAACAGCCTCTCTACCCCTTCGGAGTAGGGGTAAGATCTGCGTACACACTACCCTCCCCAGACTCCACTAGTGAGATTTCACTGGGTTGTTGTTGTTGTTGTTGTTGTAATTGCTGTAGGTTTCTTGTTCACTTTCTGTTTAACTTAAAGGTGTTCAACCTGTGGATTACTAATTAAAAGTAGTTGCCTTGTCATATGTAGGAATGGGAACTCACATCCAAGAGGAAATAATTATCGATATCCTCAGCAGGTTACCTGTTGAGTCTCTTGTGCGAATCAAGTGTGTTTCTAGATCTTGGAATACATTAATCTCATCATCTTGCTTTAAGATGAAGCATCTCAATATTGCCAGCAGGAACAAAAACTTTCAAAAACGCTTATTAGCCAAATATCGTATAAGGATGGTGTACCTAATACCAGGATCTCTTTCTCTTCTTTATCTTTGAATATTCAAGTCGTACGAAAACTTGATTGCCCGTTATACTATGAAGCAGAGCTTGGCACAATATATTGTTGTTGTGATGGCTTGTTTTTAGTCGGGCTTTGGAATACACCTGAGAGAGAGCCTTCAATATTATTGCTATGGAATCCCTCCACAAGAGAAACAATAGTACTTCCACATTCACATTACTCCACCGTGGACAGAGATAGATACACTTTTGGATTGGGTTTTGACTCAAGTAGTAATGACTATAAGGTCCTTAAGGTTAATAACGAGGATGACACCTTCAATGAAATTCTCTCAGTGAAAAGTGGTTCTTGGAGAAAACTTGCTAGTAAAAGCTGTAGAAATAACGTATCATGCTTGTTTATGCATTTGGATTTGGCATTTGTACATGGAGCATTTCATTGGCTAGGACGTATTCAGCTCCCAGAGTTTATTGTGATCTCGTTTAATATTTCAAATGAAATGTACAGAGATGAACCGTTGCCAGAGCCAATGTGCTTGACGATAGTGCGAGAGTCAGTTGTATCAGTGTTGGACGGAATGCTATGCGTTTATTCTACTTGTCATGACGGGAGCACTTTTAATTTATGGGTGATGAAACTCTATGGTGTCAAAAAATCTTGGCCTAATATTCTTACTGTTTGGCTCAAAAGTTATCGATATACTTTGTAAGCTTAAAAACAATCAAAAGTAGGAAAAGGTAAATCGTAATCAAATATAATAGACCTAGAGATGAAAAATGAAGTTGTTGTTGTAGATCTAATAGTGTAAAATGATAATATGAACTCAAGAGAAAGTATTCGTTAGAGATAGAGATAGAGAGAGAGTAGGAGAAAATGAGAGAGTTGTATTATTCCCCGAATCCCCTTTTTACAATGTGAAGGTCTCCCTCATATAGTAGGAGACCTCCCTCGAAATAATCAAAAAGATACAAAAATAGGTAACGTTTTCCTAGTGAAGACACTGAGTCTTAAACGATGTCGCTTTTGTCCCCACGTCCAAGTCGTACCCTTATGTTAGTTGACGTATACTCACTGGGCTTACCCATTGGCGTAGAGACGTTGACGGTCAAATTTGACCCTATACAGTTAGTCCCTCCGTTCGTTGGAGACGCATTCGGTAGGCGTCTTCAATGGGCGGAAATGCAAACCTTGTCTTAGGAGAATTTGACCTCGACCTGGGGCGGCAACGTGCATGAGGCGAAATGTATGACGTTGTTGAGCCACTGACGCGTGGCTTCCTTTTCGGAATGACGTCATCGCCTGTATGCGTCACTATTATGCGTACTCCCGAGGCGGTTCAAAGGATGATGTGACATTTTGGTTTCCCGCGCACGTTTTGAATCATGACTCTTCGATTTCTGCGCAACCTAACCCTATAAATGGGGGAGAGGTTCAATCCGATTCATCTTTCGAACCTTTGTAAAACATTTTCTGGTTTACTTCTTTGCCTTTCTTTCTTGTAACCGTTATTTCGTGTGAGACTCCTCCACTTCTTTGAAGTCATATTTCTCGTCGTTAGTGCCTTATTTCCCCAACAGAAGCATCATGGTAAAACGTTGTCAAGGTGGTAAAAAGACCAAGGACACTGACCCATCTAGGGTTCCGCCTTCCTCTGGCGGTGAGGAGGAGGAAGTGAAAAAGACCCTCGTTCCCCTTACTGTAGACAACGTTCTCCCAAAGGAAATGCATATTCGGAAGGATTTTCAAACGAAAAGTCCAGCCCTTCCCTGGGAGCATAGTGATTTACTGCAATCTCATCTAGACAACCTTCGAGCGACACACAACATTCCTGACCATTTGGAAATGGCTCCGGCTGGGATGGACTATGCCAATGTGCACAGGCCTGGGTACTGCACATTTTACGAGTACCCGTTTTTGATCGGTTATAGTCTCCCGATTTACCCTCTAGCGGAGGAGCTTTGCCATTTCTTCAATGTGTGTCCGGCTTAGCTTACTCCTTACACCTTGAAGGTGTGCAGGATTCTGACCACGTACGCAGCTAAGGCTGAGTGCGGCGTCTCAGTTCATCATCTTTTACAGTTATTCAGCTCTGGTTACCTGAGGGGTACCATGTTGCAATTGAAAAGCCGTGGCGCGAAGGGTTTGGTAGTTAAGTCTGACGACAAGGCCAACCGCCTCTTCTGGCGTAGGTACTTCTACATCAGAACGGAGCACCTGGTGTCTAACTCTGAAGGATTCCCGGAAAGATGGAACCCAGAACGTGAGTACCTTTATTTGCAGAATTCATGACTGTTCGTGACCTTGACCATTCGGCCACTGTGATTTCTTTTTTTTTTTTTTGTAGCGAGGGCTTCTCCACCCCAGTTTATTGACAGTATTAATTCGTGGGTGGAAAGATTGATACCTTATGCGGAGGAATGCCGTACCTGGGCTGCATTTCTTCAACAGTACGGCCCGTCAGGTAATTCTTCGGCCTTGGTTTGGAAGCTCCCTTAGGTTTTGTTACCTGACTTACTCGTGTTGGCAGGTCGGAGTGCCCCCAAGAAGAAGAAGGCCGTCGTTACCTCGCCTAGGGCGGAGACCGACTCTGATGGTGGAGACATACCCTGCGGCTCGTTCAGTGATGGCGCTCCAGAGGTTCCTTAGCAGGAGGTTGCGCCTATGGCGGCGTCCGCAAGTGAAGCGACTCCTTCAGTGCCGTCCCCGCGGTCTATGGAGGAGACTTCTGAAGGTGAGGAGCCGCCAGAGAGAAAGAGACGGCGGTTGATAACGGGCAAGGGGATAGCGACTGAAGACGAGAGGGTAAGTGAACCCCGTCAAGTGTCGAGGCCGGTTTTTATGGCCGATACTATCCGTTTTGGGAGGTCGGTTCCCCAAAGGAGAGCTGTTGTCGACGCCATCCCAACCCGTGTTCCGGAGAGCGGTTCGTCGGCTGCTGTTGGAAAAGTGGGCGATGGTGCCGAGAGTGCGGACACTGAGGCCGCCCGTGGAGATGCAGATGGGTTAACGAGGGGTCCAGCCCATGTGGAGATGACGACGGGTAGGTCCAACCGTCGAATTATGATCCCAAGAGGGTATAACCTGTTATAACACAGCGAGTAGGCCGCAACGGATATGACCCTTTTATGTGCGGCTGCTGAGCGTGAAATGATGAAGGGTGTTAGTGACGGGGATCTATCCCGGAGGGTAGCTGGCGCGGCCTTGCAGGTAGCTTTCAGTTTTCTTTGTGTGCCGTAAGGCTAACTTTGATGCGTACTGACTTGCCTTTCCTCTTTTTCTTCTCCTTTTTAGACCCTCATTTTGGAGGTGAAGAGGAGGCGGCGGGCGCAAAAGAAGGCAGCCACTTTCAACAAGATGGCGAAGAAGTACCAACGGTGCCGTGCCAAGCATCGGGCGCTGGCGGACCTACTTAAGCAGGACCTGGAATTTCGGATGTTCCGTGAGGGCCTTGATCAGTCGGAGGCCCAACTGAAACGGAGGGTGGCCGAGCTGGAGCAGGTCGATGAGCAGCTGATGACTACTCTGGCTCGGAACATTGAGCTGGAGACTCTTCTTCAGTCGAAGGAAGAAGAATTCGAGGTTAGCCGTGGGGTAGCGGCGGAAGCTGCTGATTTGCGGACCAAGGTCGCTGCTTTGATCGCCAAACTCGATGCCAGGGCGGCTGAGATTGAAGTCCTTAAGCGAACTGCTGCACCAAGGCCTGATGAGGATGCGCATCGTGAGGCGCATGATACGTGGGTATATGCCGAGGCCAGATTAGTCGTATTCGAGGAGTTCTTGGCTGCGGGTCGAGCCACTGAGGCGGAGGTTCAGGAGCAACGGCGCGTAGCCCGCGTCGCCTGCGAAACCTGTGGGTATTGTTCTGACTCCCCAGACCGGACGGGCTATAACTCCGAAGACGTCAACCGTCTAGAATCCGGCTCTTGGATCTCTGCAACTTATCAACCCGGGAGCGGCGATGAACAAGGAGGCGGTCAGGCGGGGGACGACGGTCGAAGCGGCGAAGCCTCTTAGGACTTGTTGACTATTTTGTTTTGTTGTATTTTGGAATGTAAATGGGACCTTTTGTAAGGTCATGTGTACATACATTTTTTTGAATGATAATGAAAGTCGTACTTTTGCTGTCATTCTTTTCCTTTTGTATCTTTTATTTTCAGTACCTCGTCTCCGCAGAGCGGGTGCTCACTTACTTGTAGGATTTTCAGTATGTTTCTCGAACGTTGTCTGTGTTATCTGCCGATAGGACGCGGCTTCGACGCTAGATAGTGGTGGCTTTAGCTAATTATGGCATCACTTCAGTTGTTATTTGAGTGCTTTCGTCATAGTCGAACAGGATTGGCGACTGTTGGCGACGATGGCCTTAGCCATAATACTGTCGATGGCCTTAGCCATGTACATAACTTCGACTGTCGTCGAACTACTTTTGTAGTGGTCGAGCTGGGTCGATTTATTAACGACAATGGCCTTAGCCATAATACTGTCGATGGCCTTAGCCGTGTACGTAACTTCGACTGTCGTCGAATTACTTGCTTGTCGTAGTCGAGCTGGGTCGACTTATTGACGACGATGGCCTGAGCCATAATACTGTCGATGGCCTTATCCATGTACGTAACTTCGATTGTCGTCAAATTACTTGCTTGTCGTAGTCGAGCTGGGTCGACTTATTGACGACGATGGCCTGAGCCATAATACTGTCGATGGCCTTAGCCATGTACGTAACTTCGATTGTTGTCGAATTACTAGTTTGTCGTAGTCGAGCTGGGTCGACTTATCGACGACGATGGCCTTAGCCGTTTATACATTGGAGATGGCCTTAGACGTTTGCACGTTGGAGATGGCCTTAGCCGTTCATACATTAGAGATGGCCTTAGCCGTTCATACATTGGAGATGGCCTTAGCCGTTTATACATTGGAGATGGCCTTAGTCGTTTATACATCGGAGATGGCCTTAGCCGTTCATACATCGGAGATGGCCTTAGCCGTTTATACATCGGAGATGGCCTTAGTCGTTCATTTATTGGAGATGGCCTTAGCCGTTCATTCATTGGAGATGGCCTTAGCCGTTCATTCATTGGAGATGGCCTTAGCCGTTCATTCATTAGAGATGGCCTTAGCCATTTACACATTGGAGATGGCCTTAGCCGTTCATTCATTGGAGATGGCCTTAGCCGTTTACACATTGGAGATCATGCTAGTCCAGTCCCTTTGTCATGTCAGTCAGGAGAGCGTATGGAGTGGCTGGTATGATAAACTTGTTCCGCAAATATCTCCACGTGTCCCCTCTGCCGCCTCGTTAAAAATCTCCCCGAGAAAACCCAATTGGGACAAAACTCGGGTAAGGGAAAAAGAGTGCGACTCGGGAGACGCCTTTCAGAAATGGAAATATATGAGGTGGGCGACGTTCCAATTGTTTTGGAGCGTTTTTCCTTCCATTGTTTCTAATTGAAATGCTCCTTTACTTGCTGCTGCTGTGATTTTGTAGGGTCCGTCCCAGTTGGTGCCCAGTTTTCCTTCGCATGGGTCTTTTGATGCCAACGTTTTGGCTTTGAGGACGTAGTCTCCCACTTTGAGTGGTCTTATTTTGGCTCTCTTGTTGTAGTATCTTTCGACTTGTTGTTTCTGAGCCACCATTCTTATGTGGGCCATTTCTCTTCTTTCCTCGGCCTCATCGAGGTCTTGAAGTCTGTTTATGTCGTTCTCTGCTCCGCTGGTATGTGAATACCTCAAGCTTGGTTCGCCGACTTCGACTGGTATGACCGCGTCGGTTCCATAGACCAGTGAGTACGGTGTTTCTCCTGTGGGGGATTTGGGTATGGTCCGGTGTGCCCACAACACTTCCGGTAGTAGCTCGGGCCATAGCCCTTTGGCTTCCTCGAGTTTATTCTTCAGTATGTTCAGTATTGTTTTATTGGAAGACTCTGCTTGGCCGTTGGCGGCGGGGTGATACGGCGTGGAGAGTATTCGCTTATTATGCCATTTGTCGAAGAACTCTATCGTCTTTTGGCCGATGAACTGTCGTCCGTTGTCGCAGCTGATTTCCTTGGGGATGCCGAAACGACAGATGATATTCTTCCATATGAAGGCAATGACTTCCTGTTTGCGTATTTGGGCGTACGCACCTGCTTCCACCCACTTGGAAAAATAGTCAGTTAAAACTAATAGAAATCGTACCTTTCCTCGTCCCGCTGGTAGGGGACCGACTATGTCCATTCCCCATTTGATGAAAGGCCATGGGGAAGTGACTGAGTGAAGTGGTTCTCCTGGTTGGTGTATCATGGGGGCATACTTTTGGCATTGTTCGCATCGGCGAACATATTCCGCTGCGTCTTTCTTCATAGTGAGCCAATAATAGCCGGCCAGTATTATGCAGCGCACGAAGGCGCGGTTACCTGTGTGGGCGCCGCAGTGACCTTCGTGTACCTCTTCGAGCACTGGCCTCGTTTGGTGCGGCCCTAAGCACTTGGCTAGGGGTCCGCCAAACGTCCTTTTGTAGAGCTCGTGGTTTATCAGGCAATACCGTGCGGCCTGTACGCGGAGCTTCTTGGCTTCTTTTTTGTCGAGTGGGAGTGTTCCATCCTGCAGATAGGATACAAATTGGTTGTGCCAGTCCCAAGTCAAATTTAAAGAGAGTACCTCAGGGTGATCAATGGCTGAATGGAGGAGGGTGACCACACTTTCTTTGTTGAAGTTTTTAGTGGATGCGGCCAATTTTGCTAAACCGTCTGCTTCAACGTTTCGTGCCCTCGGAACTTGTTCGAAGCGGCACTCGTCGAACTCAGTCATTAATCTGTGGATTTCTGACTAGTATTTTTGCAATCTCTTCTCCTTGATTTGGTAAGTCCCAGTGACCAGGTTCACCATGAGTTGGGAGTCGCAATAGAGAACGAGTCGTCGAGCTCCATACTTGATGGCTAGTTTTATACCTGCAATAACAGCCTCGTACTCGGCCTCGTTGTTAGTCATCTCGGGGCATCGTATGGACTGGCGAATTATTTCGCCCGTGGGGACCTCGAGAACGAGTCCTAGTCCCGATCTCGAGGCATTAGCGGCGCCATCAGTGTAAAGAGTCCATAGGTCGGTGTTGGAGGGGGCACAACGTGCCTCTAGTTCCGCCTTTGGTAATATCTCTGCGCTGAAGTCGGCTATAAAGTCGGCAAGTACTTGCGACTTGATGGCGTTTCTTGGGTGATACGAGATATCGTGCTCGCTGAGCTCTATGGCCCATCTGGCGAGCCTGCCTGATAACTCGGGCTTATGTAGGATGCTTCTTAAGGGGAAGGTCGTCACTACTTTTATGGGATGGCACTGAAAATAGGGTCGGAGCTTCCGTGAAGCTACGACCAATGCCAAAGCTAATTTTTCGAGGTGCGGATACCGTGTTTTGGCGTCCACTAAGGTTTTGCTAATATAGTAAATAGGAGATTGCGTACCTTCGTTTTCACGAACCAAGACTGCGCTGACGGCGACCTCGGATACGGCCAAATATACCAGCAGGGGCTCGCCTGGACTTGCTTTGGCCAGCAGTGGTGGCGAAGATAGGTATGCTTTCAATTTTCTCAAGGCTTCGACGCATTCCTCATTTCACGGTAACCTATTTTCCTTTCTCAGCACATTGAAAAATTTATGGCACCTGTCGGAGGATCGTG